TGCAAAGTTATATGTGGAAGGAAACTGTGACCGAGGACAAGCTGATGGCATAAGATGTAAGTACAACTCCTCTGGTTTCATATGCAAAAAAAATTTATTGCGCTAGCTCACGTGGTTGCAGATCTACCGGGATTTAAAAATAGTTACGCAAAACGGAGCGTGCCCACTCTGACTGGTTTTAAAGGGTTAATAACAGAGCTGTGATACTGAGAAGTCAGTTAACAGCTTTTTATCCTGGCTTCAAACTTTATTAATATAACGGCGCTTTTTCAGTCTTAAACGTCATCGACGTCCAAAAATAATCACATTATTGTGTTATTGTGTTTGTTGTACAGTTTATTTGTAGATTCTAAAATACATTTTCCCTTTCTGATCTGTAATGAAATCAATCCAAATCATTTGTAATACTAATAAAACACTTAAATAGTTATTTTAGTCTAATCTTGCCTATAATTACAAAAATAATATTTTGGCGCTTACTGCTGTTGCAGCAGGGGGCAAAAACGAACCTTCTGGCAGATCTAGTGATGACGCCCACACACAGTCATACAGCAGCTTTGTGGGGAGGCTGTAGGTCACGAGGTAAAGCAGCATCTACTGATCGCAAGGCCGGTGCTTCGATCCCTGGCTGCTCCAGTCTGCAAGCCACATATCTCTGGGCAAGATACTAACCTCACATCACTTAAACATAGAAGAAAGTGCTTGTATGGATGGGTGAATGAGGCTGTTGTATAAAGCACTATATATGCTATACCTTTCCTGTACGTTTCACTGCGCGTTTCTTTATTTTTAACCCCGCTCCATGTTTGAACTCTTCCTCTTTCATGTGAACGTGCTACATAGATAAACCCCGGGTAGACTCATGCAGCTGATAACTGTGTTCACGTGACCCTTTAGCCTGATTGCTGATGTTAGATTAAGCAAAGCTACATAATGGAAAGCTACCCTGGCTATGACGCATTTGCTTCACAGCCCAGGCCCCGGGAGATGAGTGCAGCGCAGAAAGGCAGCATTTTTACAGATAATCAGATCTGCAGATACTGAAACAAGGAACTAAAAATGCAAACATGCTCGGTGCTCTAATCCAGGAGGTGTCGCACCACAGACTCACTTTCACTGCACTCGTGTTATGCTTCAAGACATGCACAGAGGAAACGCAGTAATTACACGCAGCCCATCTTGTGCACAAAGAGGATGATGGGCTATAAAATGTAGCTGATCGCTATTATCACAAAAGGAGGCAGCTGGTGGAGGAGATCAGCGAGGGAGGGGACAAACAAAAACAATCTCTCCAAATTTTCATTTAAATTCAGACTTGTTTTTGTATAATTTGCCAAAATCCTTTCTGAAGGATTTTAGCATCAGTGCATCTGTCAAATAAAGAATTACATTGCAACAATAAACTGGGTATTTACATTGTTTAAAGAAACTTTTAGAACTACATAACAATAATTCTTGGATATGACGAAGTTATTACTGTCAGACGCTGCACAGACAGCTCGTCTCCCATCCGACTCCCTCACAATCAGCTGATTTTATGCATATTTAATGACGCCATGCGACTCTTCACCTTCATTCCGAGAATATCAACACGATTACAGAGAATCGGTATCGTGATGCACATCACAGTTTCATCAGCAAAACACTCATTTGAGGTTTTCTATCTGACTGTACTTTTGGAAGTTTTCTCACACAAGTCATCAGAAAACGGAGCAAACATCCAGGCCAGCAATGCCGGTTTCTGGTCCTCT